TGGCAAGGTTGAGAGTAGTTTGCACTTGAATATTTGTGTCACAGCTAAAAGGATAAAGGACATGGTTAGTGTCCTGCACCAAGCTGTCAGACACTTCTGTCATTTGTGCACAAATGGCAAATGGTGTCACGTTTGATGAGGTCTCTTTTGGGAAGACCAAAAATACACTAAATCCATCAAGCAAAGCAGCGGGGTAGACAGAAGCCCCTGAATGACTCGGAGGTGTCATTTACCGAGTGTCGCTTCAAACAGCCTTTAAACTGTGTTAAGTTCATGACACTGCTTCTCTGGCACCGTCTTGAAATAGTTTGTGAGCAAAGGAGAAAGTGAAAGATCATTGAATAAGGTGTTGTTTTGAAAGCCGATTTAAAAAAATAAAAAATCGCTTTGGGTTCAGGATCAGCGTGTGTTTGAGCTTTGACAAGTCCTCGGCAGGAAATCTGTTAAGGATGAAATCTTGCTTTTCTTGTACTTGAGCAAAAATTGATTTTTGTTTCTTTGAGGATTAATAATAACTTGATTTCTGTTGCAGAGCTTTCATTTAGCTGTCAGGTGTGGACTGAAATGAAAACTAGCTGATGTACAGTACTGTGCAAAACTCTCGCTAGGAAAATAACACACATGGAAATAAAGTATACAAAGTGAAAATGATGTTCAGTTCTAATGAGCTTAGTTCTCCGGGCTTCTTGAAGGACATTCAAAGCTCTTCTTTGGATGTTTCTGCCTTTTGTTTTGTTCACGTAGCTTCAATTATGTTGAGGTCTGGGCTCTGGGGAGGCCAGTCCATGACTGATAGTGTTCCACTGTGTGTTTTCTATCCAGGTACACTGCATTAGCAGTGAGTTTGGATCATTCTCATGCCAAAAAGTGGTTCCAATCAGAACCACTGTGTCTTACAGATGGCTGTAGGACACTGTTGTATCTCTTCTGAGTTCCTCCATACATATTGGCACCTATGTGAACTACAATCTTCAAATGTGGACCTTTAGCCACAGATTTTCCAGTGTCCAGTTTCTGAGTAATTTGGCTTACTCGTTTCCCTTCCTTTAAAATGTTTGTTTCCGCATTTCCTAGAGATATAACTTTAAGATGATGTCCACCTGCTGTAGATTGTTTTTCTTTAGGTCTGACACTCCTTTTTTCAGTTTTTTTAAGGACCTACTCGGCATCATGCCGACATACATAGAGTTTTTAGCTAATCTTATGGTGGCCCCTTTGAGGCCAAACGGACTGCAAATTAAGAAAACACCAGCAATAAGAAAAATTGCAAAAGCACACAAAACACAACGGAAATGGGGAAAAAACAAAACAGAAAGGAAAAACAAAGAAATAGGAAAAAACAGATTTCCAAAAGCACAAGGGAAGTGTTTCTGGGGAGGCAATAACCTGACGGACCTGTTGCAGGAACCTAAAACATGGTGGGTGTGTTTAATCATGATGACGGATTTTTAGGCTGTTAGTTAGGATAACACACTTACCTCTCATCTTTTCTTTCCTCACAAAAAAATAGATCCTCCACTTCTTTTAAGTGTCTCCCAGCGGAGTTCGTAGCATATTTTGGTTCCTGCAACTGGTCCGTCGGGTTGTCTCCCCAGTGACAATAACTGGGGAGTCAGCACTTCCCTTGTGCTTTTGGAAATCAGTTTTTTTTCCTATTTCCGTTGCGTTTTGTGTGCTTTTGCAGTGTTTTTCTTGTTGCTGGCGTTTTCTTAAGTTGCAGTCCGGTTGTCCGCAGGAGTCGCCCTCTGCTGGCGACTCAAATAAATGCAGACGCAAAGCACTTCTGCGTAGCAATCTCTAAAAGGAAAGTATTCTGTCAGCTCCCTTTTGAAACCTTTATTCCTTCAGCTGAAACTGTTACACCCAAGATAAGTATACTGTAGCTAGAGGAGAATGTTTCTCTGGTTTTGTGCAGTCATACCTTCTCCATGCACAGAAATACAAATGCCACCTTCCAATCAGGACTCAGACAGGTTTTTCATTTTCACAGCTTGAATCCACTATATGGAGTTCATTTCTACTGTGGCACAAAAACAACTTCTCATTCTCTACCTGGGGGGAAAAAGGTGCCATTTATGCCAAACTGCAGTGAATGTGGAACTCTGTAAGGCTACACTGATAGATGTATATGGAGGAAACATTTTTATATAGGGTGTTGTCATTAAGGAGGCATGATGGGTGAATATGTCGGTCCTCAAGGCTATTTTAGTTCTGCTGCTAGCGAACAAGTGTGTTGTGGTGTTATATTTGCTCATATCTACCCATGAGACACTTAGCTGTGGCCCAAACCATAATTCATTGAGTTTGGCTAAATGAGAGAGGGGAAAAACTTGCTTACATAAGGAGATGGTCTTAGATTTATTGTTGCTGGTGTCACAAGAGCAAGAAAAAGTGCCCACAAGCCATCTTCCACCTCTTTATAGATCCCTTGGTCATCCAATCACCATAAAAATAGAGTGAAATTGGTCAGGCATGTGTAGCATGTTAAACTCTCTACTTTCGTATTCCTAAAGTACAGAAACATCCTCAAGCAAGATGCACCAGGCAGCTTAGCCTGACCTCTGACCCCCCTGTGGGGAGGCTGAATGAGGAAAAAGGACAAAAACAACCCACTTCTTTCAGGCTTCAAGTGTTGTCACAAAGTCCAACAGTGACCCCGTGTGGCTGTAGAGAGGTACTGCAGTTGAAAAGATGACAGAAGGCTTAAAAATACCTTAAATTCTTTTACTTAAATTAAAAAAAAAAAAAAAAAAAAGTACATCACATTATCCTTTACAATACACACGTCTTTTTAAAAACTCAGTGGTATTTTTCACTGTACAATTCAATCATTTGTATACAAATGGCTGTGAAAAAAAGAAAAAGGAGGAAAAAGGAAGCCATTATAGCCCGTCACGTCACAGATGACAAATTACTAACTCGTAATGACTGCAGTGTTTTGCATTTGGGCTTTAATTTGCACTTAACCAATCAATATCATGGGTTTTGTCTCAGTCCACAAAGTACAACTTAATCCTTAGGATGTGTGTTTTGTTTCTTTTTAATTGTGCCGTTTAATTTATTTTTTAATTCATCAGATCGAGGCCGCGGAGCAGCCCTAGTACAGCTACACAGCGTGGATCAGGCAGATGGGAAAACTTTCAACATTTACACACTTAGAGGAACTACATAGCTAATACAACAGTGATGACACCAGCGTGAACGAAGAGGACCTCGAGAAGGCAACACAGTCGTTTCTGACGGCACCTCCATCCTCAGCGATCTGTGTATCTTATTCACTTTATGGACCAGCTGAATGAACAGATTAAGGTGTTATGGGTATGTGACAGTTCATCACCAAAGCTGGGATAGGCTCAAGCCCTCCTGTGGGAATCTGGCAGCTTCCACTACACTAAAAACCAATCACTGCAATGCTGGATATGGACGCTTACATGCTGTATGAGGGTTAAAAAGCTGCTTGTGTTGCTAAGGTTGGAGTTTGATCCTGTTGCTGAGCAGAGATAGTCATGAGAGTGGTGCCGAGCTGATGAAACATCAATTCCAGAACAAGAGCAGTCCAGTTTTCATAACTCCCGAGGTAAAGGAATTCAAACTGGGGTTGTTTAAAAAAAAAAGAGAAAAAAAGAAATACATTTTGTACAACCTTCTGTAAACATGAGCGTAGGCAGAATGCAAAATCAAATATTTGGCAAAAGAAAATAATAATGTTAGACATTTAGAACGTGATACATTCTGTGCTTTATCTGAGTGCAGCCCCGCCGGGGTCTCGCAGTCCCCGCTGAGAGCTGCCTGCCACAGTTAACAGATTAGAAAAAAGGCTTCAGGTAACAGCTTTAAGACTACAACAAGCCAGCCAGTCACACAGTGAGACAGCATTAACTACTGATTCCACCTGCTCAGATATCCGACAGGTATCCCCCACCCCGGTCATGGATCGAATTTATTCCTCAATAAAAATAGAAATCCATGTCTGGGAAAGGCAGCCTGTTAGCAACAGGCTCGAAAAACCAAAAACAAAACAATAATCATACAAAAGAAAATGTCAAAGAAAAATATCCATCCTTCATTAGCTTTAACTAAGATAATCATCAAACGCAGCTGTTTGAACTGGTCCATCGCACCTCTGGCAACTTCATCTCCAGTCCGCCTGACTCTAAACAACGGCGATGACGAGAGGACTCGTATCGACTTTAAGAGAAGCCTTGACATTTCAAGTCTTGACGGCAGTTCCTGAAGGGCAGTCTGGTTTTTCTTGAGGATCGGTGACATATCGGGAAAAATGTCAAGGTCTCCCTTTCAACAGTGTTTTTGTAAGATTTTAGCTAGGAGTGTGGAGCACCTACTCCGTCATCTCAAATACAAAGAGCTAAAGAGAAACTGACCTCCAGCCCTTTATCCTCGCCTCACAAAACACCTTAAAGTGTCTGATGTAGTTTGGCATTATACACTTCTACATATAAACGCAGAGGGGCAAAGACCCGCTTCGCTCCCGGGAACAGCGTCTGGAAATAAAGCAAGACCTTTATCCATGTACACACTTTAAAAACAAAACAAAAAACAAACATCAGCTCACATTTAGATGAAGAGGAACACATGGAAGAGCACTCACTGTGGCGTTTGCAGAAAGAAGAGAAACAGGCATGTCTATACAGCCTGAACTCAAAGAGCTGAGCACTTATACAAGTAGAGTCACCCAATCAGAAGGAGACTTCAGAAGGTTTAGGATACAGTGAGCTGAAAGGCCTTTACGGGCCTTTGTGTGGAGAAATGTGCCAGTTAGAGTATCTTCTACTCCTGCTTTCACAGCCAGTTTGATGGTTGTCTGGTGCAGCGTGCAGACATCAATCTGCCGTTAATACAAAGCGCTCAGACTGTTCTTTCTGCTGAGAGACCAGCTGAACATGGCCTCGAGTCGAGGAGAGGAAGGCTGTAATAATGAGACTGCAGTGGTTTCTAACACTGACCAACATCCATGCGCTCCCACACACACACACACACACACGTACGTCAGCATTTCCAGTTTTTAATAAAGTGCAGGGAGAACAGCAGAGACGGGACAAATAAATGGTCTCCATGTGTCGAGAGTTTAAACAGCAGGCGGTGTTGTGCTCTTGTCGAGAAAAAAAAAAAAAAGGATCTGTTACAAAGACCAAAAGACATTTTTCAAAATAAAGGCATTTAACATGAAAACGTCACTGCACCGTTTCACAAACACGGATGCCGAACGCAGCAGTGGACGTTTTTGCGTCGTCGGTTCGGCTAAAAGGACAAGAGAGACCAAGCCAGCAGCGGTGTAAACTAAGGAAGGCTCCGTGTCAGCCGTCATCACAGCTAATAATACACTTTATTTAAAAAAAAATTAAATTAAAATACAGCCATGGATGAGACGAAGCACCGCTCAGCCTGTCTGAATATTTGTTTTTGCAGTGATTTGGAAAAGCTCGTTTTTACACATGTGGCAGTTTGAACTGTTCGTTTTTTAAATACATCCAGGTTGATGAGAGCTGTATGAAGTCTTCCTACCACAGTAGAGAACATCAGAGTCACTTAAGATGCAAATTAAGACCTTAAGACACACACACGCACACACAGGAAGCCAGCTAAGTCAAGTGGTCAGCAGGTGGGAGAGGAGGCCAGCCTCCCTCACCAGCCTCCTGATGATTGATAAAACCACACTGATCATCCTCCTCTCTTAGTAAATTTTGTCCATAATCACCCACAGGAAAAGCGTCATGTGACTAAACACCAGCTACACCCACATATTCCCTCTAACGTGGCCTAAGCAGAAAAATCCACCAACTGGGCCGAGATCATCGACTATGATGATGAGGATGAGGAGGCAGCTCACACACGGTCGAAGAGTGCGGCGTTAGAGAGTGTCATCCAGTTCGGCTGAGACTCGGGAGGTTCTCTGCATCAGACTTCAGCCCCGACGGAGGAGTGCTGAAGGCTCTTTAGAGCTCGGCGCTGGCTGGCGGTTTGCTGGTCACGATCTTCATGTACTGGGTGAAGATGGCCTCGAAAGCCTCGTCCCTGTGGATCATGGCACCAAACACCAATGGCTAGAGGAGACAGAGATCCTTGGCTGTTAGTATGCTTCTACTGTTGTAAAAAATAAATAAAATAGAATCTGCTGCCAAGTTAAAGCAGCACTAGGCAAAAAACAACAACAAACATAACTAAACTGGAATAAAAAACCTCTTCAGTAAAGCTGGAACATGGAGGAAAGCATCATTCTCAGCAGCATGCAGCAGTCACACTGTTGCATGCCCTGTGATGGTATCAGAGTATATTTTTCCCCGATAATAGAGTTATTATAAAAGATTATTAACATTAAAGTGGGATTATTAAGTTATGATGGCTACTGATACCAAACACAGGCATGGTTTTAAACACTGAGGTCAGTGCAGTGGTGGGCAGTTAATTTTCCCAAGGGCAAAGCACCGATATGTTTATAAAGTAATACAATTAATAGAAGAAAATTGAGTTTAGCTTATTGGCGTGGCCCCCGCCTTGGGCCGGCATATGTGCAAGTAATCCCTGCGAGCAAAACCTCAGGGTTCAAACTTCTGTACACATTCTGTTTAGGAGGGTTTCTCTCTACTCTTGGCTCTATATGATATCATCGAGAGACACCCCCCCCTACACTCTGTAAGCACAGAAGCCCCACCCACATGTTCAAATTATCTCTTTGTGAGAGCCAACCAACCAATCAGGGGGAAGTTGGCTTAAAAGGAAATGAGTGTAGCAATTTATCTGGAAAAACTTAGCACATCATGAGTACAGACAGCAACAAGAGTCTCAAACAGAAGCTGATAATAACAAAAATTATAATAACAACAACAGTAATAACCGCTGTCATCCCAACCAATAAAGGGAAATTTTACACCATAAACAAATGAACAGTTGCACATAAAAAATTACAGCGAGTTTCCACTTGGGGGCGCCAAAGTCCAACTTTCAGATGACCTAAATACAAACTGATTAGAGATAACATTATGACCAGCTGAATAATATTGTGTTAGTAAAACCTTTTGCTGACAAAACAACCCTGACTCAACAAGGCATGGACTCCACTAGACCCCTGAAGTCCTGTATGTTGTGAGGTGGGGCCTCCAGCGCGTCCAGCATATCCCGCAGATGCTCGACGGGATTGAGATCTGAGGAAATCTGAGTGTTAAACATGTTCTTGTGCTCCCCAAACCATCCCTGAACCGTTTTTGCTTTGCTGCGGGAGCATTATCCCGCTGAAAGAGACCACAGCCATCAGGGAGCACCGTTTCCATAACAGCATACATGGTCTGCAACAATGCTTTAGACTGTTGGATGACCTGGATATGCTGGTTTCCCAACATTTCATTGCCCAAAACATCACACTGCTTCTGTAGGCTTGCCTTTGCCCCATTGTGCATCCTGGTGCCAGGTCATCCATGTGATGTAACATTCATCAGACCAGGTCACCTTCTTCCATTGCTCCGTGGTCTTGTTCTGATGCCAGTGGTGGCGCTTTCAGCGGTGGACAGAGGTCAGCACGGACACCTGGCTGGTCTGCAGCTATTCAGCCCGATTTGCAGCAAACTGCAATGTTCTGTATTCTGAGCCCTTTCTATCAGAACCAGAACGTTTTGTGCAGTTTGAGTTACATAAGCTCGTCTGTTGGATCGGACGACGCGGGCCAGCCTTCACTCCTCACGTGCATCCATGACCTCGTTGCTGGTTCACCACCATTCCTTCTTTGGACCAGCCCACAAGAACTGCAGCTCTGGAAATGTTCCGACCCAGTCGTCTAGCCATCACAATGTGACCCTTTTTTTTTTTAACATCAACTTTGAGGACACTTTCTCACTAATAATTAGCATCCACTAACAGGCGCCACAATGCAGCGATAGTAAGTGTTGATAATGTTATGCCTGATCGCTGTATACCACTGTACAGTACCTACAATCTTTGCTCTTCCCTTTCAGTCAGTTCACTCAGTACTGTGGAGCAGTGACATCTAATACCACGTGTGCTGTACCGAGTGAATCGACTGAAAGGGAACAGAAGTTATAGACATGACTGTTCCCAATAATCTCACCAACCTCTTTCTCTACTTCCTCAGTAGGAAAATTATTGATGCTACATCTCTGTCACCTAGCTACCCGGTAACATCCTTGATGGCCAACTAATCGGCTCGTAAATCAAATCTTAATGAAACGCCCACAGAAACCCACAGCAGCTCACATTTGTGAATTTCGATTTGTCACATGCAATACTGGAGAATTACTGCCGACTTGTCTGAAACTGACTGAAAGGACAAAAACACAACATCTGTAGCAGATAATTATTAAGATGTTGGACTGAGCTTCAGCTGAAGCAAATGAAATCACGACTCCAAACATAATAAATATACAAAGTCTGTACCTTCTGAGTGGAAGGAGTGGCTATTGAAATGCCCATCCCACTTCCTGGTAGGACTGACAACACTTTGTACTGTGGAGGAGAAAAACAGAAATATCTGCTTTAAACACACACCAGAATAGAATTACATTCGTTTCATTATTAATATTTAAAGTAAGTAATTATCCAGTTTTAGAGAGGCTGCTGGCCTCGAGACATTCCTTATGCGTATTACTGAGTCATTACCTTTTGTATGTCAGTGATGTCCACCAGCTTGATGACTTTATGCTTCTTGGAGGAGCTCGATCTGGAGCTGGAGCTCTCAAAGCACAGGTAACTGAGAGAGACAGAGAGCTTTGTGAAAGGAGGGAAACAAAGACACCAAAAAACCATCCAAACGGAACAGACGTGTAATAAAGTCTTGAGTCGAGTGTTCTCAGGAGGAAGGCTAGCCTGCACAGAGTGACACAGAGAGGAGGAGAGATGAGGCTCAGCGCAACTTAAAACTACGTCTCCTCTGGACTAAATGAATCTCCGTTCCTCTCGTCTGCTCCACCTGTAAATGGAAGTGCTGCTTCTCTCCTCCGCTCAGAGATTTGATGCGATAAAGCTCTCCCCTGAGACAAAGATGTTCCACTTACTTCTCCGTGACGTAAAGCATCCCGTTCCTGATGTAGTCTGTGGGCATCTTCCTGTCTCGGTTTATCAGGCAACACCTCCAGCCATTTTCACAGACTGTGAACAAACAGCATACAAGATGATGAAGGAGCGTTATTCACAGAAAACACATGATTCCAGCTTTAGGACATTTCTAAGTTGGATGTACAGAAATAAAAATGGGTGCCAAAGGAAATAAATAAATAAATAAAAAACTGTAGTACTTGCTCTTACCCGGCAGAGGGCGCTCTGACTCTGGCAGGTTGAAAATCTCGTGGAAAGCTCCCTTCTTGGTGCTGTGAGAGCGACCGCTGTCCTCCTCTCTGCTCCCCCCACACGGGACGTTGGCGAGGCTTCCACGAGAAACCACCGGCTGGACCTGGAGAGAGTAGGAGGGAAGAGGGGAAGGAGGATGGAGGGAAGGAAAAAAAAGAGGGGAAAAAAAGTGAGAACATAAAAGGAGGACAGAGAGAAAGAGTCACATTAAACTCAGCGGATGAGGTTTTATAAATCTGTGTGAACTACAGTATCCCGCAGCTTTAGAGACAAGTGGCCGAACTTCAAACAGCTCCCCAACTTTTGAGGTTGCATCATGTGCGCTTTCTTCACAGCAGGCTCAGGAGTGACGTGCAAAGCAAAGAGTGAGGCCATCATTCAAGTCAGCATCCATAAATAACCTACAACACGCGTTTACCAAAAACATTCGTGTCCACTGCACTTTTACAGTTTTACTTACACCAGCGTTAGTTATCACAAGACAAAGTCAGATAAACTTCAGGGTTACTGATCTCTCCAGTTAGCAAGCATAAACCATTGTGACTCCATTACCAGTTCAGCTGCGTCGGTGCAAATGAAAGCAGCTGCAGGTGCACTGAAGAGGCAGCACCACAAAAAGGAGTCATTCTGCAGGAGGTGGCCACACCGGCTCGCTCCTTATCACTCATTTACGCTCACCACACAATTTGCAACCAAACAGCAAGGTCATCACGGCTTGGTAGCATTTATACCAGCACTGAGGGTGTGACTATACGCTGCAGTACTCTCCTGAATGATCAGGAAAAGCCTCCACATCAGCGCTGGTACAGTACAGGAGCAGAAGTCTAAAATTTTTTCCAGAAAGTCTGATCTTCCTATACTGTTTCAACATCTCCTCATATATAATCTGTGAATCTTTGAGCTTCTGTGTTGATGTGTCATTAAAACTGAAAGAGTTACACAATTGTTTCTTAAACCTGTGGTGGCGCAAAAAGACTCCACTTTTGTCATGTGGGGAAAAACTGGCGAGCATAAACGGGCCATCACGCCTCTTGATTGATTTTACGCCACTTCTACTTTTTGATGGAGTCCTCATCACTGCTGGTAGCAGATATTACACCTGCAGCCCACTCAGGTTATAGAGCTAGTCCAGCTCCTCAAGGACGACACATAAAATCCACGAGTGCCAACGGGAAAAAGGGGGAGAAACCAGGAGGCGGGTATTACATGAGTTTAGCAGCACATCTACTTTTCTGTACCAAAGCTCTGCAGAATGACCTGCAGCAGGCTTCCTGTGCATGTTTCTGATCAAACTAACAGAATCAGACTCCAAGAGGTGGCATGAAGTCCTCACGGTCCTGAAGCTTAAAAAAAAAGAAAACAAAAAAAAAAAACCCAAAAGCCAACGAGCAAATGCGTGAGCTGCACGGTGCTGTGAGCGCAGGTCAAATTAAAGACACCAGGACTTTATAACACCCTCTTGCAGTCTGATTCTATCACATGATTAGCTTGCTGGAGGTCATTCTGTAGAGCTCTGGCAGTACTCCTCCTGTTCCTCCTCACACAGAGGAACAGATACTGGTGCTGCTGCTGGGTTGATGCCCATCTATGGCCCTGTCCAGCTTTACTCTTGCAATGGGCCCAGCTCCTAGTACCTCCTCCACACTCCTATGCTGGGAGACAGCAAACCTTCTTGTGACAACACGTGGATGCATCACCCTGAAGGAGATGGACAGCCTGTTCTGCGGGTCGATCTCATGCTAACAGCAGTGACAAGAACAATGAGAAAAAAGTAAAACTAGAGAAAAATCAGTCAGAGGGAGAAGGAGAGAGCAGCGGCCTGTGGCCACCACCTCGATGGTAAGGTCAACTGTTCGGTTCATTTTTATGCAGGCCTCTTTACATAAGAGTTTTAATCTAATGATCTAACAGCAGTTATGGTGTATTTAAGGGGAACAGGACGATACTAATGTGCTAACATGAAACTACACTCGTCAAATCTTCTCTACGTGCCTACTCAGTAAACACACTGCCAATTCTGACAAGCATCTATGTTCGTGGATCCAAAATGTCACGGGGCTGCAGGCTCTTAAAGATCATTCAAACAAAAGAGAATAAAAACACCGCAGTGTCAGAGCAAAAAGGAAAATCGCAGACCGTTTTGTTGACATTTTGATCCACTGCATTCACAAATTACTGACAGCCACTCACTAGGTGTGTCACACATCACTCACACACACACACACACGCATTGTGGTGAACTGGCAGCACACACAAGCACAGTAGAGTAGACACACCAGAGGCCCTACCTTCTCAGTGCCAGAGAGCTGAGAGAGAGAAACGACAGAGCAGACCTGTGACTGCGGCCACAGCAAACACACACTCAGACATTCATGTAAGAGAGGAACTTTGTGGTACCCACACAGAACAATCACGGGCTCAATTGTATTGCATTATTGACAGGAGGGGTGATATACTGATTGATTGATTGATCATACTTTATTCATCCCGAGGGAAATTGGGCTAAGGCTGCCAGCGCCATAGTTTTGATACTTTATTGATCTATTTTTATCCACCACAAAGGGAGTCAGTGGGAGGTGGGCTATAGTGGGTGGACTGCTGACAACATGAAAGACTGGACCCGACCTGCTGCTGATGGATGATCCACACCCACATGGAGGTGGTATATGTGCCTTTCTTCTTGTGTGTGTGTTTGAGATGATTGCTTATATAGTAATCTGCAAATAATGTGAATTCACTCAAACTTCTAGCCTGGGAGAAGTTTTGCAATGCAACTGAAAGCCTCTGTGGTATAAACCTGTTAACAACTCAGGTCTTTAAGTTTGAAATCGTGATGGGCTAAAGGAAGAAATATTTTCTTATTTAAGATTTTAATTTTAAAAAAAATAAAAAAAAATAAAATAAAATAAAATAAATCAAGAACCTGAGACAGGAAGCAGTGTTTGTGGTAGAAAACACGTGTGGGTTGGTGTTGGGGTCTGTTCGCCTTACCCGTCTCGACACCGTGGCGTTTGTCCTCTCTTTGAGCTGGGGGTCGGTGGGAAGGCTGTTCCACACGATGTAAGGCGTGTCATACTTGTCGCGGAGCTTCGGGCAACTCTTAAACAGGAAGTCTATGATGAAGAACTTGATGCCGGCGTACACGCCTGCAAAGAGAGTAATCACAGACACATGAATTCTTAAAAAAAATATAAAATAAAAGAGGTTAAATGATGCAAAGCAACACCGTTTAGTGAAAATAACCCCTCAGATGTGCCTCACTGACAGACAAAGGGATGCCCCAAATAGGTGACGCCCCCCCACCCAAAGTAGTCCTTGCAGCTGACCTTGATGACGTCACTAGTTTCAGCATTGTGCCCATTCTTGCACATACAGACACTGGGCCAGTTATATGCTGGAGCTCAAAGTGACTCTGGTGTATTGTTGGTTATCCAGAGCCTCCCCAGCTAAGCAGTCAGATTTTCTCCTCATGGTAAAACAGCAGATTTACAGAATAAAGTGCAGAATAATGAAAAGCTTCCAATGATGAGCAGAGGTTCCAATTTCCAGTTAAACTCGATGGAAAACCAGCCTAAGAGCTCCTGATGAGACTGACGTGGGACAGATGCACACATAACCACAGATTTCTTCTCCACTACATGAACTGGGCTCCGATGACTGACCCACCAGCTGACACCCGCTTACAAACTGGACTCTCTTTGGGGGAACGTTTTTATTATAATTGTTTTGTATTTGGAGCCTGTCATGCAGCTGCCGTGTGTTGCCAGGTCTCCAGGCTCCTGCCATTCCTTATCGTTTTCCCTGTTGGTATCAATTACCCACAACCAGAGTCACACATACTACAGAAGGCAGTGGCTCTGCATGTACAGACTATGTAGGGATTTTCCCCATGATGGGTACAATACAGCCTGCCGATGTCACTTTGTGCCAACACAGACTGGTTTCCTCTGCACTCTGTCACATTTTTCCATTCCATGTTCACAATGTAACAATGTGCTCAGCTAGCTGTCTTCTTCTTTCAGCTGCTCCCATTAGATCATCTGCCTCCATCTCACCCCGTCCTCCTCTGCATGTCCTCCTTCACTACACCCATGAACCTCCTCTGAGGTCATCCTCTCATCTCCCTGCCTGGCAGCTCCATCCTCAGCGTCCAATATATTCTTTCTCCCTTCTCTGCACATGTCCAAACCATCTCAGCCTTGCCTCTAATTTTGTCTCCAAATGCAGTTAGCTATCTGTGCAGAAAAGAAAGCCCTCATTCCCAGTCACGCTGAATGTGTGGTCTGTTTTGTTTCTCCAATTGAAATGAGTCACTGAAGAAATCTTAGATGGGATCTGAAATAATAAATGTCAGTATATTTACTTTGTTTAACTGTCCAGTGCAGCTTTTAAGCATACATTGATTTTGGTTATTCATTCCTTTTAAATGGAGAAATGAAGTGCTAGATGGAAATTTGGCTAAATGACAGCAGCTTCTATGCCAACAGTTTGCTCCGAGCACCTTTCAAGAAAGTCTGAGTGCATAGTGGTTTGGGAGACGCTAAAAAGTAGTAATTATGTATAAGATCTATATGCCAATAGCCCGCAGCTTCCCCACACAGGCTGAGGGAGTACGGCTCCACAAGTTCTGCATCTGTTTTTGACTGAGTTCACGTATTGTCACAATCAAAAAGATGCTTTGTGAACATCACTCACCAATCATAAAGCCCAGCAGTTTGTACGGCAGGACGCAGGAGGTGATGAAAGTCACCCACAGGCAGACGTAAAGTTTCTGGGTGCTCTCTGGCTGCACCCACATGAACAGACTGAAACAGACAGCAGGAGGAGGACAGAATACACATCAGTATATAAGTTATGTGCATTTCTTGCACACTTGATTGTCAGGCTGAAACAAAACCACTCACTTCTTTATCTTCTCTAAAACATCAGCCATCTTTCCAAAGAGGTTCTGGAAGAGATTTAAAAGCACCTCATTAAAGAGTTTGTCTTGTTTCGAGCAGCGGTTGGATCGTTAGATGAACCTCGTTATACCTGTGCTTTTTGTGCAACGTCAAGTACAAGCTGAAACTTCTCAGACACAGTCAAGTCTTCCTTTGGAGGCTCCTTTAACAACACACACACAAAAGCCACACGTTGATCTCCAGTCCTGGATACATTTCATTCTGACCTGCACAACAACAACAGCAGGAACGCATCTTACCATGGGTTCAGAGACCTCAGGCACAATGCTCCACTGGATCCTCCAACCTCTGAAAAATAGAAGGTATAAATAATGCACATGTTATAAGGCAACTATTCCTTCAATGCAAAACATCAACTTTAAAGGACCGACTTTTCCAGCAAGTACTGCTCTTTTGTAGCGACAATTACAACAACCCCAAATATGCACAAATGTGTGCATGTTTTTAAAATCTGGCGGTTTTAACAAACATTTGCTGTGTGACTAAGGGCCGCGGTGTGCATCTGTGTACTACCAGCACAGCTGTGGCCGCAGTAGTTGATGTTAATGTGGGTTTTTTGCACAATTAATCACGCTAAAAGCTGAAAATCGGACTGTAGCCTTTTACAAACAATCGAGCTCAACCGTGAAACAACAGCTGAGGCAAAAATGATCCCGCTTTTATGAATAAATGACAGTTTTTACCTGGCAATGAGGTAATTTAAGGACAAGCGTAGGATAGCCAGGAAGAGGAACATGGGAATGGCCCAGCCATGCCAAGCAGCATTCATGTAAATCTGGATTCAAAAGGGAAAAAAAGGACAATATATACACAGGTTAACGTGGTTTGTTGTTCTTTAATAAACAACCGATATGCATTAAATTCAGCACTTTATAGCAGCGAGGACACATTCTTTCAGTCAATAACAGCAATGAATTATAAGATGGACATAAAGAGGAATCAGGGGGCTCATTGTAAGCCTGAAGCGCATAAACTTGGGTGATATATCAGCAGTGGAAGGCGCTGAGTCACCTGTCAACACTAAACCAGCATCACGTCTGGATACTGAGATGGTGTAGGGCCATAATCAGTGGGTTGAGGATGATTTAGCATAACCACTGACTGGACATTAATGAAGATCTGATTAGGCCTACAGTCGCTGGCAGAATCACTGCAACTCATCACAGTGAAGCAGACATGACTTTAATATTCATTTAATCTCCCGGCCACGAGCTGTAAGACAATTAGGTCAGAGTAAAACTACAGAAACGACTCTTTTCTATTAAAAGGGTCGTACCCGCTGTCCAAAATTATCATCGGACTCCTTTTCCAGTTTGGTTGATTTTAGACACCCAAAATTGTAAAAAAAAAAATCACGTTGGGATAATAAGGAACTACACTGAATACATATAATAACTGCTGTAAAGTACAAGCAAGAAGTCTTGATCTCAAAATTCGACTAAATCATTCAATTCAACTTCATCAATTTCCTCTCTCTCATCACAATTGCCCTGCATCCTCTATGAAGTCTCACCTATTCATGGATTCGATTTAGAGAAAAGAGGAAAAAGTCACAACTGCAGTCAAATAAAGGCAGGGTGGTGAAAATGTAGTGCAAGGTGTCAAAGTGACAGAGACGGCAGATGACAGAAGCAGCACAGCTGTCAATGACACCCAGACTGTGCAGAAGCCATCAGCAGTTTATGGCAGGTAATCCTGTATCACAACTAACCTCAAGTTTTCTTTTAGAGAATATCGAAGCGCGATTATTAGACAAAGTTAAAACATTAATTCACATGTCTGAAGTGTAAGACTCACAATGAAGGCAATAGCTGAGGTGTACACGGAGTGCCAATTAGATAAGGCGGAGAGGTTCCTTAAGAAGTTGGTGACAGGTCTGGCTCCTCGCTCTGAAACAGCAAAGACACAGGGATTCACTGAGAGTGTAAAGCTAAAGACAGAGCAGCAATGTCTTTACTTTTGGTTATCTTTGTGAATCAGCCTTTTACTGTGAAATTTTCCAGGACTTTTATATTTAACTACATGTCGAAATGTTCAAAAGGAAAAAAAAATTAGATCTACAATACACAGAACTAGAGTATTGCATGAATGTGTGTTAGTGATATCATTACTATTATTATTATTATTATTATCATTATTATGTAGAGGATGCCAAGTAAAAGCTTATACTCACTGAGTCGCCTCATGTTTTCTGTCAACCTGGATGGAAAACAAAAGAAAGTGAAGGTCAGATTACGCGTAGATGCTGACATACACGCAAAAAAAATAAATGCTGCTTTATGTGAGAGGGGAAGTGTTAACACTTTGGCCTTCATCCGTCTGTAATGACTCACTGTTCTGTACAGAGGAGGAGAGAAAATAAGTACGATGAGAAAAAAAACCCCACTTCCTCTGTGCAAAATCAAACCAGAGACAGCTACAGGGTGAGGGTACAAGCTTCGGTCTCGTCCACCGAGACCGAAGCTTTTATGCTCGCCGGGCACTCCGATTCCACATCTTCTTCAACAACCCGAGGAGTTATGTTCTGCTCAGGACCACATCTCACCCACCTTTTAGCACTTAGCGGTTCCTCAGCCTCCACTGTGCTTTCCTCCGGCTGGAAGCGGAAGTCTTCCATGTAAACCCCGAAGCGCTCGTACAGCCACTTCTGCAGCCGTGAACTCCAAACTTCCTTCTGCTGTTTCTCTGCTAAAGAAAACACATCAACTTTGATTTGCTGCTATAAGCACGACTTACTTTTGTAATCCCCTGCACCAACAATCATGCATTGTTAAAAGAAAATCACTGATATGTGATGGGCTTATGTTATCAATAACTCTTACTCCAACCCTATCTCCTGCCCTGTCATGGGACCCAGACTGGACCACTTAAGCCTGGTCTCAGACAGTGATTATCCAACGGTAGCTGAGCAAATTCAAGGACTCACGCCAGGCCTGCTTCTGTGTTTCCAAGCACGTGATTGGGAGAGCTTTGGGCTATGGTGTCTGCTTTTTCTGCATTATTAAGTCTTGTTACAGGTTAAACCACAGAAATGACACAGTCAGGATCACCACAGGCAGGTGGACATGGCTGTATGGAAAGGTGTGAGCTGAACCAACAGAGCTTTGCAGCCTGTGCTGTTACATAAAAGCTAAACTTGCTATTGCCGTGTGAATAAATATATATCAAAAAACACTTTTCACTTTGTGTAATGAATCCGTGTTTTCTACACGATAAGCTGACTTACTGTAAATAACTGCCTGGATTTTATAACCTTAGTATTCTCTGCATGCAGTAAAACAGCCTGGTGGGCCTGATATCCTCATAAACTGCATACTTGCCAGTCAAAACAAGGACAACAGTCAACTGCTAATGCTGAAGTGCCCCTGAGCAAAAACTAGAGCTCTAATCTGCTGTGGTGTTTCAAGTGAACACCAATTTGTTGTGGTAGTACCCACAGGTGACTAACAGCCTGACTGCTCAGACATTTATTGCCATATGAGAATGAATACAGTTTGTTTTTTCTGCTGTAGATGATGCGATTCAGCTAGAAGCAGTTACATTTACAGTTTTCAAAGCCACCACTGCCAGGGCCCAAACAGACGCGATTTCTCTCTTTCACATTATCTACGGCAGGGCTTTGGTAGCAGAGTGCCAGCTCATTTAAACTAACATGTGACTGAGGGTAACATAGCAACGCTTTCACTTCATGGTGGTAATGTGGGTTGTTTTTTTTTCTTTCCTTTTTTTGCTCTTTACAGTTTGACCTTTAGTGACATCACAGCCACATCACCACTGAAATGTGTTACAAAGTTTAGGGTGCTGTAACTGCTGCAGCAGGAGGTTGACTCTGCAAACACACAACTTTAAAAGTTTCAAATGATGGCGATGGTTTGCGTGGGTGCACGATCACGCTCTGGACCTCTTTGTTATATATGTAGATGTTGATGTCAAACTACAGGAAGGAAGATTCAATTTAACACAAATCTTATAATTTATTTAAAGCTGAAAAATGAGCTAAAAATCTCTGAACAGACTCCAGGCTGAACCGCAGTAAACTGTGGATGAAGGAGATGTGCTGCAGTCCTCACAGGCTGCCACTAACTGACCGCCTCACTTTACCAAACCTGGATCTGCATAAGCCGGCCTAACATATTCTTATGTCTGCCCTAGATGAAGTGATCTACAATCATAACCCATTTTCCAAAATTAGCCTCACTCTCTCACCCTCCCTTTAACTAATATCTCACACACACAAACACACACCAATCCCTGGATCACTGAAAGTCAACCTATGAGAGTAACTGTTCAGCCTGAAACCAAAAGAAAGCACATATCAGAATCTGACCGTTATTGCACTAATGAGCTTGTCTCATTTGTCCCTCGCGCAAATATTTTGAAAACCGACTCATTCTTAACAGCGACGATCTGGACTAATGATAGGAACCAGCCTCGATGCATTAATGTGGTTTGTTGTGTTGCTTACTTGCTCTTGACAGCACACAGCGCACACAGGAAACCCCTCTGTTTGCGTGCACGTGTCTGTGTGTTTGTCACGCACACTACATACTGCCTCGTGTCCTGGAGTAACCCACAAACCCTTCCGACCCACTCTGTTCCCATCGAGCGCTCCGTTGCACGCATCCTACACTCTCACCTCCCCTGCACACGTGCACACACACACGCAAACTCTCCTCTTGATTTACTCCCACACTCAGAAGACGTCAAGGACTCATTTCCTCTCCCTTAGACTCCAACTCGCCCACCTTCACCCCCCCATTTCTCGTCCACTTGGAGTCTTACCTGTTCTGTTGTTTGAGGGCGACTGCTGCTTTCTGGGAGGTTGTGGTGGAGAGTCCTCTAGCCTGAAGGGAAGGGACAGACACACACATAGTCACGAAAAAACTAAGGGAAAGATCTGTCATGTGTCAGTCTCACTTCTGTATTGTCAGAACTGCAATCTCACACTTTAAGAAGTACATGAGCCAGCATGTTGAAAGCTGCTGCACTGAACGGATCACCACAAAAGGCAAAGAGACATACACAGAGCCAGACTAGAAAGATTCACTCTGCCTGTTATCACAGTGAGTAAGGTTACTGATAAAATCTCACACAATGAGACAAAAGGATCAGTGCCAACAAAAATGGAAAATGGTGAAAGAGGCAGGGTGGTACAGCAAACATCCTCCTTTAACTTCAGACACATTAATTCAGCTATTCATATCCTGCAAAAACTGAAGGCATCTGCATCAATCGGACTTAAATAAATCTCAATGACAAATCTGAAATCACTCATTGGTCCTTTAGGGAGGGCCTACCCACAAATCACCCATTCTGCACAGCTACAAACACACACATTCAATAAGTGCATCCCTACAGCCATTCTGATTCCATAAAACGTCCTGAACAGGCACTGCAGTGGTAGTTACAAATGGATGAAACAACATTTAGAGCAAACTGGCACTGGCAAACTTGTTGCTCTTTTATCTATAAGGCTTTAATTGCAGTCATATTTCTTTGTAATGGACAGGAAATTCTAGCGTAAGACTGAATTGATCTTCTCCCTAAAGCGAAGGCTTCTCCAGAATGTGTTAATGCTTTGTTTTACTGTTTATTCCAATCATATACCAGTGAAGAAGAAATGTTTGCTGTCTGTTATGCTCATGCTGGATATTGCTGACAAAGTATTAACTGTGGAAAACTTGCAGGTCACAGTACATTAACTTCACCTCTTACAAATTCCTAAACTGCTTTCGATAGTCTTGAGGCCATGTTTCAGCGCTGGCAATCACTTGAAGAATACCAGCAGAATTTCCCATGGGCATTCAAGCTAACATTTCCACACAGTCCACACACAGTACATGAGAGAGAGACATGCACACCCGCAAGTGTAAAGGGTATCCCAGTAGATGCCAAGAGGCGTGGGTTTTTCCTGTCACCAGGATAGCATCTGTGTCACAGCGAGGAGATTCAGACAAGCGCGTGACTCCTTTCGTTTTTTTTTCCTCTCCCTCTCCCTTTTTCCATCTCCCTAATAACACACACACACACACACACACACACACACACACACACCCCTTGTGGAATTTCCTGCCTACCGAGCTGTTGATGCTTCTATTTATAACAGAAACCTTGGGCGGCACCGGCACCCTCGTCATCCAACTTGCCCCGTGGTAAACTCTGCTGAGCTGAACTGTTACAAAGTGCAGCGTCACCCTTTCCTTTCATTTCATAACTATTACTTCCCTTTTCATACATTTCTCCTCTCATTTCCCGTCATGTGCTTCACTCTGCAGTCCCGTCTTCTCGTCTCACCTGGTTTTGAGCAAATCGCTCATCTTCTGCTCCAGGTCTATCCTTTTGCTTCGCTCCCTCTCGAGCTCCTGCCGCAGGGAGTCCACGCTGGTCTCGTCCCGCAGCTTCCTCAGTTCCTCCTCTGGAGAAAACAAAACAACACAAACACTGGAGGTCAGCAAATTTAATTCAATCTAATTCAAGTCGATTTTACTTATATCACACCTTTATATTGTAAGGTAAAGACTCTACTGTAAAAGAGAAAAGACCCTAACAATCACATGACCCTCTATGAGAAAACTTGGTGAAAGTGGAGATCAAGAACTCCCTTTAAACAGGAAGAAACCTCCAGCAGAACCAGGGTTAGGGAGGAGTTGCCATCTAGTTGGGGGTGAGGGGAGGAAGACAGGACAAAAGACACAATGTGGAACTTGTTATGTTATCTTTAATGGCTCATCCTGATCCCTGACCCTGGTACTGCCAGAGGTTTCTTCCTGTTAAAAGGCACTTTTTCCTTCCCACTGTCGCCAAGTTTGTCGCCAGAGGGTCATCTGATATATTGTATGTGCTTTACTTTAAAATATAAAAGATGCTATATCAGTAACATTTAATTTTTCTTAAATGATGAGATTCATACTCTCACATGCTCAGGGTCACAAAAAGGCACATAAGAAGCAAGATTTAAATTTATGTGCAATGCCATTTTCAGTAAAAGAATTCAATTCAATAAAAAAATATTGCTTTTATCCCTCCTGTTTATAGCCTATAACCTTCACCTCTCCTCCTCACTTCCTCCTTGTCAATCATGTGATGGCTTCAATTGGTTTCGGGTAACGGCACTTTCAAAGCCTGGGGTGCAAAATCAGCACTGTCTCACACTCTATTGCCCCTGAATAAAGGAGCACATGAATATTGGAGAAGAGAAGGCCAGAAATGTGTGCACGTGCACCCGTCAATCAGTACCCACTTACCCATTAGATGCTCGAATAAGCAATCGCAAAAATCAAAAGGACAGATCGAGTCCACCTTAAAGAGAAATATTTCTGATTATCAGCAAAGGCTCTTCGAGGACAATCATGCCCTGCTGTAGCACCACTTCCATTGTGAACACCCTCAAAAGCACACAAGTTGGTGTCTCAGTTAAAAAAGAGAAACATCACCTGAAACGGGTGCAACATGTTCTTGAAGTAGCAAAGTGCTGAAAGTAAAGAAAGCAATGAAAGCAGCGCAACTCCCCAATCACCCACTTTTCTCAGAACATCGCACACCCGAGGAGAGGATTCAGATTACAAGACTGTAGCTGCCACTTTCTCTTTCTCATCACCCAGCCTCATAGCTCACTCTAGTCCTTTATTACATCCCATTAACACTAATAAAACATTCATTGGCAGAACCTCCTGCAGCTACAGCGCTGGCTTCAACCTGGGGTGCTGCCTCTGAGAGAGGAAAAACATCCAGTATAATGTTTCTGCCTCAGATTCTTCTTCTGCATTTCTAGTTTACTCAGAGCAGTTTGGGAAAATTTGGCTCTCTTTGAAGTCTTCCTTTTGAAAATCCTCTGCAGTGGTGCATTAAAGAAAAAAAACCAAACCATCATTTTATCTCTTACTTCCCAAAATGCAAAATGACTCCTCTCATACATTCAACAGTGGCTGTGTCTCTCCTCCCATCGGCCCAGCATTCAAATATGTATGAAAACGTGCCTCTGTGTACATAACAGTAAGCAAAACACAGGCCAAAGGTCGCAATGGGCTTAAGCTGCTTAATGGTTGCCCTGTGCCATAAGATCTGCAGCCAACTTTAAACCTATTACATTAAAAGACTAGCAGCAGCAGCGGGTATGATACAAGCAGTATTTAGCTTTGAGTTTAGTGTAACATAAGCAAAGTCACTCTGTACACCTTCAAGTCAAGTAACATAACTAAACCAACCACAGGATCTCTTTCTTAATAAGATGACTTGGGTGGTTTTCACAGCTTTTTACCACTAATGCCCACTCGTACGCTGCCACTCCGTACAACCACTCCCTGCACCCCACCCCCAATTTCTTTCTCCCATGCTCCACTCCTTCCCGTGCATGTATTCCCTCTCTGTAGTTTCCTTCCACATTGTCCATAACCTTCAAAACACCAGAAATAGAGATGCTGCAGAGTCCATAACACTGCACTGGAAGTGGGGCCACAAGTGTGTGATACAGCACAGTTTGGCACAGTACGCTATGTGTGTCGGACGAGGAAGGATAGAGTACAATCTGTTTTTTCTGTTCCACAGAGGCTCTCTACATCAGATAGCATATTAATAATACTGTCAACATGCCTGTTCTGCACCTAAAACTGGATTGCTGACTTCTATATATAAATCTTCATCCTGGGTTGCCACATCACAGGGTCTCTTCAGCCATTACGAAAGCTAGTAACTAGACCATTTATGTGTAACACAGACAGGGGATTAGCTAAATGCCATGCCAAGAGATGTCACTTTTAATCGTGCTGACCTTCTGTTCTTTGCAGACTTTGAATGAAACCATAATATCTGTAGGGGAAAAAGAAAAGCTACAAAAACATCACTATGAACTTTACACACAATACATTATTTTATAAGGAAGGTTTGGATGCTGAGGGCAGATTATGGAAATGATGGAGGTTCTGCACTGCTTAACGGTGTTTTATTTGCACCAGGTTAAAAGGAATCGTTATGCACATTTTTAAATTGTACTGGAGTAGCGCTGCATGACTCACACTTCAAAGTAATTCTTAACCATTTCATATTGGGCCCTAATGCAGCACTTCAATCCCCTCTTTAAGTCTACTCTCGCTTCAGGCCGGCTTTCTTCCAATTGGCTGCCCCTCTTAAACAAAAGGTGGGCGGGATTTCTGTGCCCTGTATCCAGATTTGTGTTACGCAGACACATAGCAGTTTCTTTTTTGAATAATTGGAGTCAAAAAGCCAAAAATAAAACTAAATGTTTGCATTCCTGAATGCTGATGAGGATTTGTGACAATAATAACCACTATACAGAAATTTCAAAAATCAAAGCATACATGTAATTTTTCAGTTTTGTCTCGTCACACCATTATTAGAGCTAGTAGAGCCCAAACCTATACACTGAATTTTTTATGGTCCTGATCCACTACTGAGGTAGAGATGCTATATTTAGCTGGACAGATGAGTCCTGGTTCCCAACTCAAATGTGACAAAAACATACCTCATCTGGTTAAACCTTCTTTGATAAACTGAGGAAAAATCAAATCATTCACACTTGCATGTAACCTTTAAATACCTCCATGGATTCAGCAATTTAAAAAGTAAAGTTTAGAGCACCTTACAGACCTCAGAACACTTTTAAAACAGGCTGGCTCGTGTTAGTCACGTCCGGCTTATATTCCAAAGATGGCAAACTTACTGAGGTTGAGGTTACTTTTATGGCTTTTGAAATTATCGACAGCTCCACTGTAAAGCAGCTCAAAGCTGTCAAAGGTGCAGTCCTCCATCCTGCACAAGGCCATGCGCCTCTGCAATCGACCGGTCCCCGGGACGCTGCTGCAGGAACGGGACGGCAGAGTGGCCGCTTTGGGTCGGTCTTGACGTCCAGCCATGGCTGCAGGTTGCTTTAGTCCAGCCTGGAGAGTTTAACCCTCCCACTCTGACCTCAAAACTCCTCCAAGGCCCGTAAAAGTTTAGCTACAGGTCCCATGTTTACATGCCTCATCCAGAGATCAGGGATTTCTCCAAACTAAGTTATCGCAAGCAGCACAATGGACTGTTGTGACAGGCCTCCACACAGTGTGATGAGCAGCGATCAGAGCTGGTCTGCATGTGTCAGGCTCTGGGTGACAAGAGAAGGGGGGCAGTGGAGGTAAAGAGAGGCGGAGCTTTGCTTGGCGGCCAGCAGACTAAGAGGGCCTGGAATCTGAGATTTCTCAGCAGACTAGAGCTGACAGACAGAAACAACACACACACACACACACAACACACACACACACACACACACACACACACAAGCACTAACACACACACACACACCACACACACACACACACACAGCACACGCACACACACACACACAAATACACACACACACACACACACACACACACTACACTACACACACACACCTGTCAGCGGCCTTATATGACCCATGTGGATGAGGATGTGTTGTGTTTTTGGTTTAAGCAGGTGTGTGAAGAAGCATGTGTGGGGACAGAAAAGTCTGCACGCGTACTGTACGCACTGGACATGAACTGCAAACCACTTTTCATTTACGCAAGTTTTTTAAGTCCTCAAAGGAAAAGTACTGTGTGAGTTTTTCAATCCAGGCCAGAGACAATAGCTCCTTTCACGAAAGCAGTGGGGGCATGGGGTGGGGGAGTTCGGAGAATAAGAGAGACAGAGCGGGAGAGAGAGGCAAAATCAGCTGCTTCGCACTGGCCTCTCACTGTTCCCATTCACTGCCGTATTTTCCACAACACTCTTTTACTTGAGCATAAAGGAAGGTCGATTTTTGTGGCCTCCAGCCGATCTGCAGATGTTAACAGGCTATTCAAGCTTCTGGCTAAGGAAAAAGAGAAGGGGAAACCACGGCACAAAATGAAACTAGCAACTAACAGGAACACGTGATTTCTCTATTCCCCACTTCTGTATGAGAAAAGATGACAACAGAGCTGGATGATTCACCTTTGTCTCAAATGAAGCTTTTTTTGCACATAAAAGGGCTGATCATATATAAATTATAAATACCGATTTACTTTACCATATGATATATGATTATATCATTAAGTACAGAGAACATTTATGTATGAGTAAGAGCATTGCATTCCCAAACATATATATGTATAAAAGACATCCAAATATAAAGCTGTAGTTGGACCGAACTGTTTCCTCCCCCTCTCCTTGGCCGCCTTCCTCTCTGGCCTTGATGTCTGTGGATAACCTAGATCGGACTTGCTTGGTGTCCTCACTTCATCCCCCCTCTACAACACAGGTCGACTTCACGGCTAAGTTCTTCCTGCAACATCAAAAACAACCCCGACGTCTTTCTCGTCTCATGCCGTGTTTGTCAACCTCTTGTTTACGTGATGCCGAGCCAAACTCCTTGACAGGCAGCGTGTGTGGGAGTTAAAGTGTGTCTGTGTTCTTTCTAAA